TGCTGTGACAGCCGCTTTCTGTGCGTGTGCTTCGGATGTGTGCGCTCAGAAAACCCTATATCAGAAGTTTAAACTCATATGCTTTCAAACGCATAATTTCAGCACGATAATCATGACAATCAGAACCAAAACAGATGTTTTTAGCAGGTCAGAGCTGTAATGGCGCAGCTCTATTCTGGAAAAGGGGGCGGGGAGCAGCAGCTCATTTGCATTTAAAGAGACAGGCCCGAAAAACAGCGTGTTTCTGCTTCCACTCAAAATAGGCATTTTCGAAATGATATAATAAATGATCTGTGGAGTATTTTGAGCGGAAACTTCACAGACACATTCTGGGGACACCTGAGACTTATATTACATATTGTAAAATGGGGCATAATATGTCACCTTTAAGCGAATGTTTTCAGTGCTAGTTGAGAAGAAATCAGAGCTACTCCTCATGTTTATTACAGCTATTCGATTCCAAATCAGCTTGGCATTTTTATCATCCAACCGATCCAAGACGGTCGAAAAGTGTCGTTTGTTTTCAATGCTACGATACTTTTCCTATCCCAGTCGAAGTTGGGTTTAAATGTGCTTTTTGCCATTTTCTCATCAAATCACTTCTTTTAACAGAAGATAATGTCGTCAGTTTTGGATGGTTTAGTGTCACATGCACTCAGCCACTCGATTAATTGCCTTTAAGATTAATCTCAGCCTTCAATTAAGTTCTTACAGTGACATTTTAAGTCAAAGTCCTGCAGTTCATGCTCCTATGAGGATAGTCAAAGTTACAATTGCAAGAGACTAGCTTGTCTATATGATGTGCAAGGTAAATATCTGCTTATTTTGCTTAAATATGCAGCTTAAGGAAATATATATTTTTTAAAATATATATTTTGTTTAAACCTTCCGATGCTAAAATTTATTTTCTTGCACATTTTGAAATATATTTCTAAGCTTAAAATACATTGGGTAAATGCAAATGTATTTTGGAACAGCATAAATATATTTAGATATTGTGAAAATGCGGAATCAAAAAAATGAAGGAATAATAACATTTATTTAGAAATATATTCATTGATATTTTATATAAATATATCTTTAAATATATATTTTGGCCATTTTTGTATATGTACACTTTTGGGTCAATGATAAAAAAAAAAGATATATATATATATATTTTTTTTTTTATAATATAAATACATTTAGATTGAGATGAGAAATCAAAAATTGAGGAAAAACATTTATTTTTAAATTTACTCAAAAATATATTTTATATACATATATTTTAAAATATACTGTATATACATTTTTGGCCTTTTGTTTATGTACACTTGGGTCAATGAAATTTTTATTTTTTTTTAACAATAAATATATTTAGATTGAAAATGTGGAATCAAAAAAAAAAGAGGAAATAAAAATAAACATTTATTTTTAAATATATTCAAAAACATTTTATATAAATGTATTTTCAAATTTAATTAAAAAAAGTTTTTTAAATTTTTTGTATATTTTAGTATATATGAAAATATATATTTTTTCCCATACGGAGGAGACTTATTGTTTTTCCACGTAAAATGTAATACCGTACAGTCACAGGCATAAAAGTCCACTGATATTGCACAGCGTGCCTTTGCTTTTACCAAATTTAATTTTGGTCATATTGTACAATCTGATAATTGCAGCAATCATAATTGTAAATTCATTATTTTCACCATTGCATTTGGTGCAACTCATCTGAGAGTGCACACCAAACATTTAGAGTTTATCCTCCACTCGATTAGTCATTCGCTTTCACTGTTGACCTGTCTTTGTCACGCCACTGTGTTTTACAGAAAACCGAGGCGTGGGAACAGGAAAAGACACGTGCGGATATGGAAGAGTACGAGTGGGAAAATGTTCTGGAAGCTCTCCTGCACATGTGAACGCTTGGAGCGAGGGCTGAGGTGGAGGAGGGAACCAGGGAGCAGCTGCTGGGGCAGGAGTACAGAGACACGGTGCTCAGGCTGAAGAACGACGGAGAGACCGAGGAAAACCTACAGAAGTATAAAGAGGCTGTGAAGAAGCTTTATAATATCTGAGGAACCAGTCAGCAGCCTGTGAGCTCCGTTTTAGGGAATATACATTATTAAAAATGTGTTAGGGAAAACTAAAATCGGTAAAGTGACTTTTTTTTCCATCAGTGAGCCATGCATTGTTTCTATTATTTTGTATTTGTTTTCAAATTGTATGCAAAATTCTGCCATATTCATGAAAAATTTATTAATGACAGCACTATGTAACGTTAACCAATTTCTGCTTTGTGGTTTTTTTCCATGAAACGCAAAAAGCTGAATATTTGAGCTTCTGTCATCTAAAAGTACAATAAAAGTAGGTTTATCAAAATGCTATCAGTTAAATAATAAATCCTGCTTCTGCCACAGGACAAAAAAAATAATGGTAATTGCAACTTCTCACAATTCAGACTTTTTTTCCTACAATTCAATTCTGATTTATTTATTTATTTTTGCAATCGCAAATTTATAACTTGCGGTTCTGAGAAAATGCGGAAAAGTCTGAATTCAGAAAAATCAGAATTGTGAAATATAAAGTCTGAATTGTGAGAAAGTCACGATTACTTTTTTTTATTATTGTGTGGCTGAAAGAAAAAAAACTGAATAGTGAGATGTAAAGTCAGAATTATGAGACGTAAACTTGGAATTGCAAGAAAGAAAGTCTGAGTTCCGAGTTTATATCTCACAATTCTGATTTATTTCTCAGAACTGTAAGTAAAAATGTTGAATTGGGAGATAAGTCTTTCCTTTGTATTTTTTCATTCCATGGCAGAAGCAGGCTTCAGTAGTTAATAGATTAAATTACAGGACATATCTTCTGTCACTGTAGGGGGGGAACCTGTTGCAATGGTTTGCATTTCACAAGACCGATTGCAATGCAACATCATAAAAAATAAAAAAGAGAGAGACCGCAAATGAAAATTGAGATATTCTGCCTTAGAATCTCTTTAATTTAATGAAGAAAGAAAATAATGCAGGGTTGGAATGAGACTGGGCTGAGTACATGACAAAATATGAATTATTTAAATATCAAACACTATGTGTAGTTTATATAAACTGGGTCAGTTCATTTCCTATCTCGAAACAATTACCCCTAGAACATTAAACACCAACTCCTCGCACTCAGACCCGCTCAAAACATGCCCTCGATGGTGCGTCAGGTGCCAGTACCAGCACCCCGCTGAAAGGACGCTTTGAGCCACCATCTAGTAAAAATACCCCAGCTCTCCATTAGTTCCTGCTCTGAGCTGACACTTCTGGGAAAGCAGAAACCAAACTCCTCAGCGAGAATTTGCTTCCATTTGGACGTGGAAAGTGGCGGCGGTCTTGTGCATCTTAAAGCACTTAGCAACCAGCCGCCTTTTTGGAACAAAACCGTCAGGTGTTCGCGGAGTCAGTTTTCGCTCGACTGTATCTGAAAATAAGTGTGCTGAGATTTGCCTTCTAAATCTAAATCATCTGTTTAATGAAATTCTAAAGGATTTACATGCACAAAACTGTCCACGAAAGACAGTTCTTCACTAATACTTCCATAAAATACACACTTTCATCATGCATTCAATTTATAAAACAAGATCTTGGTTGAAAGTTGAAACCTAGCGTAGCCTCTGTAGGCAGCATTTAAATACATCATAGTGCAGTTATGCTGGCTTCTATGATGCCTTGTTTTGGCCAAATGCGAATGCAAATTTCCAGAATGCATTGCAACAAACTCAGTGAAAACAAACAAAATATCACTTTTAATTAAATTAATAGCAAAAATATTGTTTGAAATATATTTAAATCCAACTTAAATGGACTGTTTACGCAATAGTTTAGAGCAGGGGTGTCAAAAAGGGCCGGAGCCCTGCAGAGTTTAGACTCAACCCTAATTAAACACACCTGATCCAACTAATCAAGTCCTTCAGGCTTATTTGAAAACTACATGGTATGTGTGCTTGAGCAGGGTTGAAACTCTGCAGGGCTGCGCCCGTTTAGAGTATTAGCTTAGCAACATGCTAACACCAAACTCTATTAGATTCAATTGTGATATTCTGCCCATGCAGAGCGTTCCAAATCAATCACTTGTGAGGTTCCATCCTCCATGCTGTCTTAGAAAGCAGTTGGCAGAATAAATTAAGGCAGCATACTAGGTTTTGAAACACTTAACTTAATCTTCAAAATTATAAATGTTTAACTTTTATCTGTCTTTTTACAGAAATGCTCATGGTAACAAACCAATGATCCAGTATGTATCTTTAAGTCCTCTGGTGAATTCTCACGAAATACTAGAGTTCGTTTGTTGTAGTCCATGGATGGCACTGAATGGGAAGCTTAGGGGTATTCCCCCGGTTTCACAGACAGGGCTTAAGCCTAGTCCCAGACTAAAATGTAAGTCTGAGCTGTGTCAGCTGAAAGAAACTTGCACTGACTGATCTTAGAATATATCAGTGCCTCTGTTTTGTCTCAAGATGCACACCAGTAATGTGTTTTCTAAGGCATGTTTATGAAAAATGTCCTAATTGAATTATGGCCTAATCCTGGCTTAGTCTAAGCCCTGTCTGTGAAACCAAGCAATTATGTTTTTGTTGTTTCAGGTGGTTTTGAAAGCAAGTCTTTAGCACGTCCACCTTCAGATTTAATTAAACCATATTAAATGTTAGCAGCATCTATGAAACATGATCATCTGATCAACTGGGTTCTCCAAATGCAGAATTTAGCTCCATATCAAACTGACCTGTATGTAATTTTCTAGTAATCCTGAAGACCTTGATCAGCTGTGTTTGTTTCGGGTTGGAACTAAACTCTGCAGGACAGTGGGCCTCCAGGGTCCGGTTACACCATCTGTGCACAAGTTACAACGTAGCCTAGTTTTACCGTAAAAGGTCGCCAAAGCCTTTTTCAGACTGTCAATCCAAATCCGATTATTTGTGTATCCGATTGGAATCTGATTTAGATGTTTGACTGTCCACACCAGATCTAATTTGTGTGACTCTGGCACTCTTTCATTTTAATAAATATCTGCATTGGCTTTATTGCAATGTCGTTGCGTTGGTATGCATATGCTAAAACCAACAATACAGTTTGCAATACAGATGTTGTCTTGCAACATGACAACATGTTGCTCTCATGCTGGATTACACTAGGTCTTATGAGGCAGCGGCAGAAACGTAGGAAGCTGGAATTTACAGATTTATTCAGTTCTGCCTTCTCTCCGCCGGTCTCAAAACTCAAAGAGGTGTGTAGACCAGCACTATATTGTCATTTTCTGCTTGATTTGCACTTCACAACAACACAAACTTGTTTCTGCAAAGCCATTTAGCATGTTTTCTACAAACAATGTCTGACGTGTTTACGTTTTACGTGGCGAAAGAAAATGACACATGCAAGCTATGCAAAATCTGATCTGAGCGGTCAGACTGAAACAGATTTCCAGAAATGAAATTTGAATAGGATTTCAAACCACATATGAATGTAGTTTGAAACCGATTAGTTTTTTTTTGTCGTTCACACTTGCTAAATACGATCAGATTCCAATCGGATTGGGACTGACAGTCTGAACAAGGCTTATGTTGCAAGTTACTAAATATTTTTGCATAGCACCATTAAAATTAGTTAAAACTTAGCTCTATGTATAAACTAAGGTGGCATTTACACAACACCATTAACAACTAAAAACTTTTTGGCTGTTCATTTAATGCAAAATGCAAACTTTTAAAAACGATACTGTTATCGTCTCTGTGTAAACTATAAAAACACAAATTTGTGAAAACGGTGCCGTTATGCACATGCGTATTATGTGTTCATTCTATAGGCATATGCAAGTTTCTTTGCAAAGTGGTATCGCAACTACTGGCCTAGCATGCATAATAAAGCTTTTTTAGTAGTTTTTGTGGATCCGTGTGTCATCTTGACAACGTTGTCGCAGGTACACAAAACCTTTCAAAAACTTTTCCGTTTTGTGGTACATCCTTGTTGTGTAAATGTACTTAAAATATTTACCGAAGCCTCGGACTAGGAGTAACGGTTGAAAAAATGGCAGATTGACTGAATTGCATCAATAAGCTCATGTTTAACCTGATAGACTTCAATCCTTTAGACATATTGACATTTACATTTTAAGAGAGAGAACATTACTTTAAATTATATATAAAAATGCCTATGTTATTCATCATTACTGTTAATTACGTGGCAAAAGTAGTTAGGATAAACTAGCATTTCAACACAACTTCTGTTTCACCAAATGTGAAGGCTGCTACTAGATCACTGAAGGTAAATGTCCTATTATACGACTATGCATTACTTTACAGAGAGCTTACGACCTACTAGCTACATTCTGCCTTAAGAACAAATGGTGCAATCGAATAAAGTAGGGTTAGTTACAAACTAGCTAGTAGCTAAGCCTCTAGTGTGGACTTTGGGTTTCAATTTAAGTAAGAAATTGCGAATAGCTGGTGCAACCCTACCCAGTGCCAGATTTGAAGAACCCTGCTTTACGAACTTTCTCTTACGATGACGTATTTGATTAGTCTCATTGATCCTCTCTTGCACCTCAGATTTGTCCTGTACCTGCCTTTCCATCGCCTCCGGCCTCTCCAGCTCAGAGTCACGAACACCGAACAACAGCAGCAGAATGTGATGGTAGCGCAGGTCGCTAAAGCCACCAGTACAGTGTTTGCCGCCAAATGCCACACCGACGTCAGGTTTCCATCCCCACTGGTTTGAGGTGCATCACCAGAAGTGATGTTCCGGCTGATGTAACCCTTCGTGTCATTGGGGTATGGTTGACTGTCCACCATGCTGCTAGTTGGGGCAGTTAGAGAAGAACTCGAACTACCAGTGGTTGCCGAGTTGCCCATTCGGGTGTGGGTGAAACTTAGGGTCAGGTGTCTAGAACCATCAGTGGTAACTGTAGGATGTGTGGTGGTTGAGCTCTTTGGGGTTCTTGTGTCACTGCTAGTTGTCTCTTTTGGTTGGGATAGAGTAGTAGTTAGGGTTGGGGTTCGTAAAGGCCATGTAGTAATCTCATATGCAGGGGTAGTTTGGGTTGAGGTTTCTAAGGGAACATCTGCAGATGTTAGGGGGTCCATGATTGTCCACTGTGGCGTAGTAGTCGTCTGTTGGGGATTGAGTGTAGAGTCCATTTTAGGCTCTGACATCTTTAAAGCAGTTGTAGCTCGTATTTTCTCATATGCAGTGGTAATTTGGGTTGATGTTTGTAAGGGAGCATTTGCAGAAGTTAGGGGTTTTGTGATAGTTGAGGTTTCAGAATGTGAAAATGCATACGTTTGGGAGGTAACGTTCTCGATAACAGCTGTTTGCACTGTAGTTTGTGGATACTCTTCCAACTTGGACTTAGAAAGACAAGTAGCTTGCTCTGTAGTTTGGGTTAGGGGTTGTTGTGTACTTGTAAAGGTCTTGGTAAAAGATTGCATAGACTTTTGAGAAGACATCACCAAAGAGTTTGTAGTTCCTGAAGTTTTTAGTTCCAAAGGCTGTTGGGATGTTGAGGAACCTGAAGATTGCATAGACTTTTGAGAAGCAGAGTTTGTAGTCTGTAGAGCTGTAGTTTTTAGTCCCAAAGGCTGTAAGGTTGTTGAGGAACTTAGAGCTTCGTTGATTGCGATGGAGGTCAAAATAGAGTCCAAGTAGTCAATTGTAGAGCTTGGGTGGGCTGTGGTTGTATAAACTGGTGTGGGGGTTGGGATGCTTTGGTTTAAAGTGTCAGTCGTTGAATCGGATTCATCCGTCGGAGAGGTGGTCATATGATGCAGGTTTGTTGATGCCCACTGTGGTGTAGAAGTCATCTTATGGGGATTGAGTGTTGAGTTCATTTTAGGCTCTGATGTATTTGATATAACGTGTTCTGACGTGCTTTGAGCAGTTGTAGCCTGTATTGTAGTACATCGAGGGAGGTTATGTTGTACGTCATGTGCAGTAGGAATGTGGGGGGTTGTGTGTTTTTGTGTGCTAGTGGAGGCAGGACTGATAGAACGGACGGGAGGGTTGGATGGATAGTTGAACTGACGCTTGTCAGAGGTCAGCGGCTTTGAAATATTGAGCTGTGAGGATGACATGTGAGGCAGCACACGCACGTTGGTGGTGAAGTACTTCCCGAACACCAACAGGTCAGGATCCACACCTGAGTGAAAAATATTTAAATCAGATCATTTATAAACAAGCTTTACACTCATCAAATAGATGTTCATTTCACACAAAAAAAATACTAAAATGCATACATGCATTCTGTTCTGACTTTTTCAGCTTCAAATTATGTGAAATGGTCTTGAGAGAAAAAGAGTTTTTATGTAAAG